GCTGTGTTCATCCAGCTCTACACCTTGTTAACTCGTAAGAAATCTTAGGTTTGGAGAATTGTGCACATTTGTAGTTTCTTTAAAGTCAGAAATGGGAGATTATAATGGAGAATAAAGAGATGGCAGACCAATTAAATACATATTTTGGTTCTGTCTTCACAAATAACGTACAAAAAAATGTTTGGGTCACAGGGTCTAGTGAGATGGAGGAACTGAAGGAAATCAGTATTGGTATTGAAATGGTATTGGGGAAATGAATGAGATTAAAGTCCAACAAATCTCAAGGGGCTGATAATCTACATCCCAGAGTACTTAAGGAAATGCCCCTAAAAGTAGTGAATGCATTGGTGGTAATCTTTCAAGATTCTATAGACTCTGGAGCAGTTCCTATGGATTGAAGGGTAGCTAATATAGCCCTACTGTTTAAAAAAGGAGGTAGAGAGAAAATGGGGAATTATAGACTGACTAGCATGAATTGGTAGTTGGGTAAATGCTAGAGGCCATTATCAAAGATCTAATAGCAGAGTATTTGGAAAACAATGACAGGACTGGACAGAATCAACATGGATTTACAAAAGGGAAATTAGGCTTGACAAGCCTCATGGAACTTTCCAGAGATGCGACTAATAGACTCGACAATGGGGACCCAGTGAATGTTGTTTACTTGGACTTTCAGAAGGCTTTTGAAAAGGTTCCACATTAAAGATTGCCATGTAAAAATTAAAGGACATGGGATTAGCGGTAGTGTACTGGTATGGATAGAGAATTGGTTGGCAGACAGGAAACAAAGAGTACAAATAAACAAGTCTTTTCAAGTGGCAGACAGTGACTAGTAGGGTACCACAGGGATCAGTGCTTAGAGCTCAGATGTTCAAAATATATGTTAATGATTTAGATGAGGGAACTAAATGTGAATTCTCCTAGATTTTTTATTCATTCATGGGATGTGGGCCTCACGGGCTAGCCAGCATGTTATTGCCTATCCTATGTTATCCTTGAGAAGGTGGTGGTGAGCTGCCTTTTTGAACCACTGCAGTCCATGTGCTGTAGGTTGATCCACTATACCAATAGGCAGGGAATTTCAGGATTTTGACCCAGTGACACTGAAGGAACGGCAATATTTTGCCAAATCAAGATGGTGAATGGCTTGGATGGGAACTTGCAGGTGGTGGTGTTCCCATGTAGCTACTGTCCTTGTCCTTCTATAGGGAAGCGGTCGTGGGTTTGGAAAGTGCTGTCTGAGGATCTTTAGTGAATTCCTGCAGTGCATCTTCTAGGTAGTACAAACTGCTGCTACTGAGTGTCAGAGGTGGAAGGAGTGGATATTTGTGGATATGGTGACAATCAGGTATCTTTGTTGTGGATAGTGTCAAGCTTCTTGAGTGTTGTTAGAGCTTCACCCATCCAGGCAAGTGGGGAGTATTCCATCACACTGCTAACTTTTGTGTGGCATGTGTGGATATTCTCCAAATCTTGTTGCATTTGAACTTGGACTACTTTAGTTTCAGATGATAAAAACATAACTTTTGCACTGATGCATTGTGCTCTGCCGTCATTGAAGATTGGGATATTTGTTGTGCCTCCTCCACCTCCAATAAATTGTTTAATTGGATGTGACAGGACTGCAGAGATTTGATCTGATCTATTGGTTGTGGGATCACTTAGCTCTGTCCGTCATTGGCTGCTTATGCTGTTTGGCACGCAAGCAGCACTGTTTGTAGCTTTTAGGTATGTCTAGTGCTGCTCATGGCATGCCTCCTGCACTCTTCTTTGAATCAGGGTTGATCCATTGGCTTGAATGTCATGGTTGAGTGGGAGATATGCCAGGCCGTAAGGTTGCAGATTGTGCTGGAGCAACTCTGCTGTTCTTGATGGCTCACAGTACTTCATGGATTGCCAGATTTCAGTTGCCACATCTGTTAGAATTCTGTCCCAAAAAAGTCCCCATGTGCAAACAGTTAATCAAACCACGGAGTGCAAATTGAGCAAGTTCCAAGGCACCTCGAAAGCTCCCACATGTTGCACAATGTGTTTTACCAGGAAGGGCCAACGTAACATTGCCTTCCCTCAGTTTTTTAAAAGTTTCATCCAAAAAGAGAGGCACCTATAGCAATGCAGAGCTCCTACAACATGGTGTGAAGTGTCAGCCTAGATTGGGTGCTCAAGTCTCATGAGTAGGGCTTGAAATTTGAAATGTTTTGACAGGCTCAGCTGACATTTATGACCGATTATAAATGACAGAAAAGAATAGATACATATCCAAATCCTTTCTCTTGAAATTTTTTTTGTAGGAGATTAGGTTGTACTCCATGGTTGAAAAGCCACAGATAATTCTGGATGGAAATGGATATCTGTACTTTAAGCCAACATGTGTTGGCACTTTGTCGGAACGATCCTATCTCATTAAGAATGTGTGTCGGATGCCATTGTACTTTCAATGGAAGATATCAACAGCTAACTCCAGGGTCTTGTCTGTTCAACCAACTTTTGGGATCATTCAGGCCAACGAAGCACTGGTGAGTTCCAGATCCAATTTTGCAGTTTAAATAAACCAAAAGAAGCAGAGTGAGTAAATGCACTTTGTGCTGAGGAAGTAATTTCCAAAGCATGGAGGACCCTGTCTTTGATCCCCAGATGGGCACTAAATTATCTTCCCTCCTGCTGGAGGAGTGGTTATTGGTGCTACAATCAGTACTTTTAGTATTAGGAGAGGGAGAAAGTAAGTCAGATTTATCTGCTTTCATTTGCCCCGTTGACAGTCACTGGAATGTCAAATGAGAACTTGTTCTGACTTACTTATGATGCCTACCCTGAATGAATAGCTTATCAGTACCCAGGATACCAAAGCTAGAAAGGGTATGTGATGATGATGTCATTTAGATTGTCCTTCCTCACCATCATATGTCCCAAGGTATTCTGTGTTAAAGGTGAACCATAGACCAATGCATGAGGCTGCTACACATTTTACCCATAGTTCTAAAAATTGAACTGATTTGCACCCATACTGCTTCAGAGTTATAGCCTCCATTGTAATAGATCGCTTGGCTTTGCATACAGTGTGCAATCTCTACCGCACACACCAAAATGACCAGAGAGACCATTAGAATTACAAATGATAAAGTTCAAAAAGAGGCTGTGTGACCATTTGTAGAGTTTTCCAACTAGTCCCATTCACCTGCTGTTTCCCTGTTGATCTCCACATTTCTTTCCATTTGTGTTTATGCAATTTTTAGTCTTACCTTAGATCCTTTCAGAAGTACAGCACTGTTAATTGCTGCAGTGAATCCTCTGCACATCTTATATTTAAGGGAGTGTCCGTAGTTCTCAATATCTAGCTTTATGTTCATGTAAACAAAGGCCATCACAATACGATCTTCCTATGATCTAAAATGGATATTCATGTCCTTTAGATCGTCATAGAATTCCTACAAAGTGGAAGCAAGCCATTCAGCCCATTGAGTCCACACCAACCCTCCGAAGAGCGTCCCACCCAGACCCACCCTATCCCTGTAACCCTACATTTCCCACGACTAACCTACCTAGCCTGCACATCCCTGGACATTACGTACAACTTAGCACAGCCAATCCATCTAACCTGCACATGTTTGGACTATGCGAGGAAACAGGAGCATCTGGAGGAAACCCGTGCAGGCACAGGGAGAACATGCAAACTCCATACAGACAGTCGCCCGAGGGTGGAATCGAACTCGGTCCCAGGCGCTGTGAGGCAGCAGTGCTAACCACTGAGCCACCATGCTGCCCGAGACATCTTTGTGGATGTACTTATTCTGTCTTGTGGAAGCTGGATCAAGCTGGGGGAAGATGAAGCCAGATGTGAAATCTTAAACTGCTTTATTTTTGCCATAGATGGACAAGAACAGCAATCAAATTCACTTATGTCAATCAGGACAGCTTAGCCTCACAAATCACAGAATGATTAGGCACAGCAGGAAACCATTCCATACTGTGTTAATACAAAATACATCCCTATTTTAATGACTAGAAACGATTAAAGTGTTTCTGGTACAATAGGTATGATTTACAGTTGTTTGTTTTTTTTGTTTAATTGGTGTGACTTGTTTCAGTTGCCATGACTGGCTAATTTTTTGCTGATTAACTTGACTCAGCTGCCCAAGTTGGAGGACATCAAACTTTACTGCCTTGTTTATGATCAGTTTTAGAGGCATAGCGTATTACATCACAAAGAATCTGTTTTTGGGGTGGTTACAACAGGATACTTAGATAATCATGTTATGATCGGGCAAAGATAACATGATTTTATGAAAGGGAAATTTTGTTTAATGAATCCAGTATTTGGTAAAGTCATAGCTACAGTAGTTAGAGGGGAACTGGTCAATGTGATGTACTTAGATTTCCAAAAGATATGTGCTAAGATGCCACCTCAAACTCTGCTGTGTTAAATTAGAGCTCATGATGTAGAAGGTAATGGATTAGTATGGATAAAGGATTGATTAGCTGGTAAGAAACAGAGAGTAAGGATGAATATGTTTGTCTCGGGTTAGCAAGCTGATATTCTTGGACAGCCACAGGGGTTGGTGTTAGATTTTCAACTCTTCATAACCCAAATTAATAATTTGAATGCGGGGACTTGACATATGATAGCTAAATTTACCAATGACACCAAGATACGCAGGAAAGTAAGTTGTCGAGAAGAGCTAGAAAGTCTGCAGAGAGTTATGAACAAGTCAAGTGATCAGGCAATAATTTGCAGGTATGAATTGTTCACTTTGTCAGGAAAAGATAAAAAGGTATTAGTAAATTTAAATGGGTTGCAGAAGTTGGTGGTACAGAGGGATCTGGGTGTCTTTGTACGTGAATCAGACAAAGTCAGTCTGCAGGTGTAGCAAGTGATTAGGAAGTCAAATGGAATGTTATCATTTATTGCAAGGATAATGGAATACGCAACTCAGGAAGTTTTACTGCAGCTGTACAGGGCATTGGTGAAACCACATCTGGAATATTGTGCACGGTTTTGGTCTCCTTAATGTAGAGAAATAAAATTGTTTTAAAAGCAGTTCGGAGAAGTTTAATGTGACTCGTTCCTGGGATGAAATGGTTATCTTACAAAGAAAGATTGAAGTTTAGAATAATGAGAGATGATCTTATTGAAACATATAAAATCATGAGGGGAACTTGACAGGTTGGATATCTGAAGGATGTTTTTACTTGTGAGAGAGATTAAAACTAGGGGACATCGTTTAAGAGGTCTCTCTTTTAAGACCGATGAGTTTTTTTTTCTCTGAGGGTCGTTAGAATGCAGATTTCTCTTCACATGAAAGTAGTGAAATAGTCTTTAAGTTTTTTGAAGTCTGAGTTAGATAGATTTTTGAGTATTAGAAATTGAGGAAGTACAATAGACCACATATGGGTGTGTAAACTCCCAGAGGCTGTAGGCAGTTACATTTCTCACCCCCCACCGAGAGCTGCTCTTCAGATATTCTCAAAAGCTACTTTTTGATTCTTCAGCAACACCTTTTTGACTCTCCTGTATTTTAGTTGCTATATGGGGTAATTGGACTCACACAAAAGTAGATTCAACAATGTTCTAATAAACAAAAACAACTCACAATGGAAAGGGAGATAACAAGGTGTAGAGCTGGATGAATACAGCAGGCCAAGCAGCATCAGAGGAGCAGAAAAGCTGACGTTTCGGGTCTGGACCACAATGGAAAGCATTAATTCCAAGGAACCATAGTATTAAAATTGCGCAAGACTAAAGGCATAGAAGAATGAGAGAGCTGAGGGCATGGCTGACAAAGATGGCACAAAGGACATCATTGATGTGTGAACGAATGTAATTCAAGGAATACAGAGATCAATGCATGGTGTTCTTTTGGCTTTGGCAAATGACTCATGTCAGGGTTAAGACAAAATACATCAGGATCTAGATGGGATAAAGATGAAGTATCATTTACCAGTCTGGTAAGAGATACAATGATAGTGAAGTTATTGACTCATGCTCTATAGATTAATGTATAACCAACTAATAAGAAAACAATGGAATTACACAACAGGTCACTAGACATCTAAGGGAAGAAAGTCATGGGAGTATTTCAGGTAAGAACCTCCGTCAGATCTTAAGTAGATAGATTATAACAACAAAATATTCTTTTAAATAGCAGTATGAAATATTACATTTAAATCTCACAGCAGTATATTGATATTGGTGACTGACATTCTCTACTCTCTGAAGACTTTTCTGCTTTTTCTATTTGCCTTTGGGGTTTAGGTAACACTGGTCACTGATTTTTGTTGTGCCATTGCTATGTAGCCTATGTACTTTATTTTCTTCGTTCATGGGATGTGGGCATCGCAAATTGCTTATCCCTAAATGCCCTTAAGATGTGTCAATTTATTGTGATGTGTTATGGGTTCTTTGCAGACACAAACTTGGTCTTTCTATCCACAAGAACAGCGGAAATATTTCCTGAAACCTTACATTTTCATATGGGGAGTGAAAGGTCCACACTGCCCAGACCTAGGGAAGAAGATCCGCCTCACCCTCCGAGTAGTTGGTGAAGGATCAAAGGGCAGAATAACGGTAAGGTTAAAGCAACAAAATAAGGCATTTTTTTTTTGTAATGGTAACCATCACCCCTTCATTCATCTTCTTCTTTGCTCCCCTGAAGGTAGTAATTAGTTTTTTTTTACGGGGGTAGTGGTGAGGAGGGAATCAGGCTCACACAATTGGCTTGATGATACTTTGTATTTTGGGGGTCAGTTAGCTCAGTTGGTTGGACAGCTGGTTTGTGATGCAGACTGTCCCGACAGCATGGATTCAATTTCGACTGTACTGACCTAGGTCACCATGAAGATCCTGCCTGAGTTGTGATGACCATCAGATTAAACTCACCACTGGTCATGTCTTTCTAATGAGAGAACAATCGTCTGGGATTATGGCGAGCTTACCGTTTACTTTGTACAAAAGACCATTGTTAATTTTTAAAAAATTATTCCTTCATGGGCTAAAGGTGTCACTGATAAAAACCAACATTTGTTGTTCTGATTGCCCTTAAACTGAGTGACTTATTTGGCCATTTCAGAGAATAGTTAAGAGTCAACCACTTTGCAGTGAGTCTGGAGTTACATGTAGGCCAGGCCAGGTAAGGATGCAGATTTCTTTCTTAAAGGATATTGGTGAATCAGATGGGTTTTTATGATAATCAGTTTTAGCTGTTGCGGTCACCGTCACTGAGACTAGCTTTCAAATCCAGACTTGTTCATTGAAATTACATTTCACCAGACACTTAAACCTCTGGATTAATAAATCACTGGCATTGCCACTACACTACTATCTATTATGTGTCATTGCAAGCAATTTCAAATGGCACTCCAGCTAATACTAGGTCATACAACCCAACCCAACATTATACCTCACTAATTTACATGCTTCTAGATCTTTCTTCTAGTGTTTTGCCAGCAGCATATGTCAGTGCACGTGAATGTGAATGTCAGCTGCAATTTTGACCTTTGTCAATGAATTCATCAAGGTCTATTGAAACTGTCCGAAACTGTCAGTAGGAGTGCAAAGCCTTTGATCAATCTGGCAACATCCTAAAAGTAAAAGGCCAAAATACTCAATTCCTCTACCCTTTAGGACACTTCTTAAGAGGTGATGATCAAATATGTAACAACTTGGTACAGCTAATGAATCCAATAAGGAACTCAGGCGAAATTTCTTTATCTAAAGTTTGGTGAGAATGTTGAATTTGCTGCCGCATAGTGATGTGGAGATAAATAGTTTGGATGCATTTAAGTTGGAGCTGGATGGCAGAGAGAGGAATGGGAGGCTGTGTAAACAAGAGTGGGAGGAGGCTCAAATGGACCGTCAACCCTAGTACGGACCAGTTATGTTGAGTGAGCTATTAATGTGCTGTAACTTCTGTATAATGCTCCAACTGGAGATGCAACTTGCATCATTAACGTTCTGAATTCAACTTCGCTTAACTTAAATTATTAAAATCAATGAGACATATTCTCAGTGCTTATTATTGTGTGAATGGGTGGTATTAATGTATGTTTTTGTCCATTCCACTGTAGTCCCTACTAAGCAATTTTCTAATGGTAGATTGATCAATTTTTGCCATCCGTTTGCAGTGCTTCTAAGTTATATCAGCAATGGTTACCTATCTGCTAAACATCTCCTTTAGGCTGAGAAAGACCATATACATTTGGGAGACATCCTGATTGGCAATATTAAGTCAGATGACCTTGTACTGGTCAATAATGAGCCATGCTCTTTGAATTTTGAACTGAATGTCAAGCAGGACATCACTGGACTATGTGATCCTGATGAGGTGGTGAAAGATCCGATGGGTAAGTCGATGAGATATTGGTCAAGCATTTTGTGATTGACAAATTGAGAATCTTCTGAATAAGTTTCTGTTGATAGTAGAAGGAAGGGCTCACTGAGGGAGTTAAGGATCTTTGAGATCTGGGCAAGAGTGAACTAGAGTAAGAGACAGGACAAGAGGATAGGATTCCATCATAGAGAAGAAGTATGTGAATGCAATTTGTGTTTGGTACTTTGGAGAAGCAAGATAGTTAAGACACACAATAGCCAGAATACAGCAAAGAGAAAAAGGGTCATTACTTTAATTGATGTGAAGGGAAAGTTGTCCTCTGAGGGTAAGACTAAGTAGAATAGGCCTGTATTCTCTGGAATTTAGAAAAATGGGAAAGTAATTAAATGAAACACAAAATTCTGAGAAAGTTCGACAAAGTATATGCAGAGATTCTGTTTCCCTTGACTGGAGAGTGTCAAACTGGGGGCATAGTCTTATGTTAATTTAGGACAGAGATAAGAGGAAATTTCTTTAGTCAGAGAGTTGTGAATGCTTGAAACTATCCAGATGACTATGGATGCTAGGTTGTCGAATATTTTTGAGTCAGCAATCAGTGCATTCTTGAGTACTAAGAACACTAAGAGATGTGGAGATTGGGTAGGCAACTGGAGTTGATTTTGAAGATCGGCAATTACCTTAATGAACAGTGCGGCAGGCTTTATTAACTGTATGGTGTACTCCTGCTCCTGTTTCTTGTGTTCAAAAATAGCGGCAGAACTGGAAATAAAAATATATTACATCCAGCAAAATATTTATTACTTAGGCAGGAACTAGATAAGCATAGTCTTGAATATTAGGATTGGTTGAGATAGGGCAGAATACAAAATGTTGACTTTAATTCCCAGGAGAGTGATTTTGGAAGATTGAATCATTCCATATAAAATAAACCCTTCTAGTAATTTTTTTTCTTTATTCATTCACGGGCTGAGGGCATTGCTGGCTAGGCAGCATTTATTGCCCATCCCTAATTGCTCAGAGGGCAGTTCAGAGCCAACCACATTGCTGTGGGTCTGGAGTCACATGTAGGCCAGACCAGGTAAGGATGGCAGTTTCCTTCCCTAAAGGACATTAGTGAACCAGATGGGTTTTTTTTTCCGACAATCGACAATGGATTCACAAACATCATTAGATTCTTAATTCCAGATATTTACTGAATTTGAATTCCACCATCTGCCATGGCAGGATTCAAACCCAGGTCAACCAGAATGTTATTTGGGACTTTGGATTAACAGTCTAATGATAATATCATTAGGCCATCGCCTTCCCAGGTCAAGTCCCACGTTCTGCTCGGACATCTTCTAGGGGTCTGTCATACAACGTGATATCCCTGCAAGTTGCTATTCTGTTTAGCAGGACTTAAGTGTTTTTCCCAGGTGTTGGACACAGATTCTGGGATAGAAATGCCTGCAACTCAAAAGGTGTAGGATGTAGTGTGGCTTCTACTGAATGATAAATAACAGAAAATCAGTCCACTTTGTATGATAGAGGAATGTAAGACCTTCTGGACAAAAATTGACAAATTTTGAAATGTAAGCTGTTCAGCCCTGTTGCATCCAGTTGTAAATGGTGGTGGATGATTAAACAACTCACTAGAGGAGAAGGCTGCACAAATATCCTCATTATGAATAATTGTGGAACCCAGCATATCAGAGTAAAAGGTAAGAATAAAGCATTTGCACTGATCTTCAGACAGAAGTACAGAATGGATAATTCAACTAGGCCTTCTCCAGTTTTCAGTAAATTCTATTCACTGCATGTGATATCAAGAAATGGCTGAAGGCACTGATACTGCAAAGACTATGGGCCCCGAAAACATTCCTGCAATACTACTAAATCTGTATACTCCAGAACTTACCATACCCCAAACCCAGCTGTTCCAGAACAGCTACAACACTGGTATCTACCCAGCAATGTGGAAAATTGCCCAGATACATTGTGCACACAAAAAGAGGAACAAATCCAACCCAGCCAATTATCTCAAGGTCATAAGGCTGTTTGTTGATGATTGCTCAATGTTTAGCACTTTCAGCTCCTCAGATGCTGAAGCAGTCCATGTCCAAACGCAGCAAGACGTGGACAATATCTTGTTTGGGATTACAATTGGCAAGTGACTTTCAAGATGCGTGAGTGCCAGCCCAATGTCCAGCTCCAACAAGAGGGAATCTAACCATTGCCATTGACCAGAAACTGAACTGGACCAGCCTTGTAAATACAGCGGCAACAACAGATCAGGTTAGGAATTCTGCAGTGAGTAACCATCTCCTGATGTCTCTCCATCATTTAGTAGGCACAAGTCAGAAATGCAATGAACTTCTCACTTGCCTGGAGGTGTTCAGCTCCAACAACACTCAAAAAGCTTCATACCATCCAGGAACTGCAACCTGCATGTGTACCACTGTGTGTACCATCGACAAGATACACTGCAGAAATTCATCAAAGCTTCTTAGACAGCACTTTCCAAATCCATGACTAGTATTATCTAGAAAGACAAGGCCAGCAGATGCATGGGAATACCACCACCTACAAAAACCTCTCCAATCAACTCATTATCCTGCCTAGGAAATATATCAATGTTCCTTTGGTGTTGCTTGGTCAAAACCCTTGCATTCCCTCCCTAGTGGTATTATGGGTCTATCTACAGCCCATGACTGCAGTGGTTCAAGAAAGCAGCTCACCACCTCCTTCTTAAGGGCAACTAGGGATGGGCAATAAATGCTGGCCAAGTCATCGACATCCACATCTCATGAATGAATATAAAATACAATTTAGCTCACATTGCCTCGTCTGCACAAGGCAAGAATAGTGGAGTTTTTGATCAATCGTAGCAATCATTGTCTACCAATTAGTCTACAACAAAACCAGGTGTGATGTGATGAAACTGCCAGTGGCAGAAAGCTTTGAGGTAGAAAGTCATCTATTTCTCTTAAACATGTTGGTCTAATTAAACATTTAAGATGATTAGAGCAATTGATAGGTGATGTGTTATTTCCTCTGGTGGCAGAGTAAAATTAAAGGAAGGCTGTTTAGAGGTTATTTCGAGAAACACTTTATTGACACATTTAGCAGTAGAAATCGGGAATTCTCTGCCCCAAAAAGCTGTCAGTGAAAAATTTCCAAATTGGTACAGGCAGATTTTTGTTTGCCGAAGGTAGTAAGAAGTATGGAACTAAGGTGGAAAGATGTTGTCATAGTCAGGTGTGATCTAATTGAATGGCAGTGGTTTAAGCTTGAGTGGTTGGGCTCTTGTGGCACAATGTTAGAGTCGCAACTTTTGAGCAAGGAGTCCTGGGTTCAAGTTCCACCTGGCCCAGATGTAGGTTACAATGTGTTGAAACAGGTTGATTAAAATAAATAGGCTTGAGTGATTGAATAGCTTACTTGTATTCCTGTGCATACCCTGCACTGAGACTAGTCTATAATGTGTATTCCTGTTATGATTTATTCTCTTTTGTTGGAAATGCATGATGTCTTAGCTTTTAAAGTGAAATATCACCATGGCACAATTCCTGCGAGGTCAAAAGTCTGCTTTCGGTTCACTGTCCGGCCTGTTCGAAGGCTTCGTTACACCTGGACAATTAGCTCCAAGATTCTCTCTGCTAAAGGTAGGTATGTTTGTATATATGTGGGTTAAATATTGGCATTTTGCACCAGGCAGATTGCTCTATATCTGGTCTGGACTGAAAGGATAGAAGTTTCTTCGCTATAGGCTGTAAGATCCATATGTGAAATGTGTTTGGGCCACTCAATCTGGTTTAAAACAGGTTGGGGCATAAAATGGCCTCTAATTTGGCATTAATTGGCATCAAGTGAATGAGTTGGTGAGTGAAATTGAAAACGACTGATCAAAAGAAGAAAACGTTGTATTCTTATAGTACCTTTTATGACCTTCGTCCATCCTAAAGCTGTTTGCAATCCATGAGGTATTTTATGATCTGCAGTCATTCTTGATTTGAAACATGGCATCTAATTTGGACATATAAAGGACCCAGAAGCAGCAATATGGTGACCTGAGACTTGTTTTACTGATGTTTGTTGAGGGATAAATTTTGGCCAGAAAATTATTGAGAATGCCTCTGCTTTTCTTCAAAATAGTGCCAAGGGACCTTTTACATCCACGTTGGTGGGGGAGTCACAGATTCATACAGCGTAGAAATGGACCCTTTGGTCCAACTGATCCACGCTGACCAGACATCCCAATCTGATCTAGTCCCGTTTGCCAGCATTTGGCCTATATCTCTCTAAACCCTTCCTATTCATATACCCATCCATATGCCTTTTAAATGCTGTAATTGTAACTGCCTCCTTCTGTTTGATCTCTCATCCTAAAGATGGCACTTTCAGTTCACTTGAATTGCCCTGGAATGACAACCTAGGTTATGTACTGAAGTGTTGGAATGGGTCTAAACTCATGTCCTTTCACTCTGTGGTGTAAATGTGCATCCTGGTTTTTGGAATGAAAATGCACCTACCATGTATTTCGATTGATCTTAACTGTTTTTCATTTGTGCAATATTTTCAGTGCTGGAACCTGATGAAAGTAAGGAGGGAAAACCTTTGTGTCGTGTGACAGCTGATGGAGTCTACCCAATGATATTCATCTCGGATGCTCGTTGTCTGGGGAGCATTAGTGGCATCAGCAAGCAGCAGCTCTGGCGCCTCTTCTCACTGGACACACTCAACGAGTACCTGCAGCGTGATCCCACAGAGAGTGAGCAGCTATACCAGGTGCCAACCAGACACTGGTGAGTAATCCTGCCAAGTACGTGACAAACAACCGTGACTATAGAAACATTGAATATTGGAGTAGGATTAAGCCATTCGGCCCATTGAAGCCATTCAACCATTCTACGCAGTCGTGAGATAGATCCTCTATCTCAACGCCATCCTCTTGCTTTCTCACCTTACCTCTTGACACATTTGGCTTCTAGTAGTCTATCTATTTCTTTCTTAGATATATTTAATGACGTGTCTTCTTAATCATAGAGTCATACAGTACGGAAATAGACCCTTCGGTCCAACCAGTCTATGCCGAACATAATCCCAAACTAAATTAGCCCCTCCTGCCTGCTCCTGGCCCCCATCCCTCGAAACCTTTCTTATTTGTGTATCTATCCAAATATCTTTTAAACATTGTAATTGTACTCGTACCCATCACTTCCTCAGGAAGTTCATTCCACACGTGAACCACCCTCTATGTAAAAAATTTGCCTCTTTTATCTTTTTTAAATCTCTCTCCTCTCACCTTAAAAATATGCCCCCTAGTCTTGAAATACTCCGTCCTAGGGAAAAGAAAATTACCATTAACTCTATCTATACCTCTCATTATTTTATTAATTTTCATCAGGTTGCCTCTCAACTTCCTGCACTCCAGTTGAAAAGGTCCCAGATTATCCAGCCTTTCTTTATAACTCAAACTTTCATACCCAGCAACATCCTGGTAAATCTCTTGATTAGTAGAAAATTTCATAGGTTCACCATCCTCTGCATAAAGAAAAGTTTCCAGGGTTAATGACCCTCAGGTTAAACTCACCACCAATCATCTCTCTTCAATGAGAGTCTGGTAACTTTTAGTGACTGGTGTATTGAGTTTCACTGTGCTTTTATTAGCTTTTCACTAAACAGGTGAAGAATTCTGCAACAGGTGTGATGAACCAAATTGCCTCCTGCTATGTTATACATTTTCTCCTTTCCCTTTGCAAATTGTATATGTTATAATTACATATGTTTTAATTCCTTTTGAGCTTGTGTTATTTCGATAAGGCTACACCCCCTTTAAGGCCAACATGTTACGTCTGAGTTCATTGGCCAGAAGGGAATTGATTGCTCCAGATCTCTTCAAAAGAGGGTGATGTATATCTGTAGCATAGCTTCTACCCATTTGTAATGCAGATGGATGCTCAACATCTTCAAGTTTCTCAAATACTGGGCATGCAGTGTTAATTAGACATTCTTCTAAACTCGTCAATTCTAATTTTACTTTTTGTATAACTAGCTGGAAGTGTGTGCTGGGACACTTCTTGGAGAGAAGAAGGTTGAGAGGAGATTTGCAAAAGGTTTGCAAAATCAAGAGTGAGCTGAATAGAGTAGATAGAGAAAAGCGGTCCCCATCATAAAAAGAACAAGAGGGTATAGATTTAAAGTGATGTGCATAAGAGGCAAGGGTGATGTAAGTAAAGACTTGCTTACACTGAATAGTTAGGGTATGGAATGTACTGTCTGGAAGAGCGGTGAGGACACTTTCAATTGAGGCATTCAAGTTGACATTGGATGATTATTTGGATAGACATAGTGCAAGGGTCTGGAGGAAACATGGGAGATTGGCATTGGGTAATGATGCTCCTTGAAGAGCCAGTGCAAGCACAATGGGCTAAATGGCTGCCTCCTGCACCATATCAATTTTGTGTGTTGGACAATACGTGGCAAGGACAACAGCACACCTTAGCTGACAGACTTAACTGAACATCATTTGAAGACTGATTAAGAAATGCAAACACCAGGGAAGGAAATCAGGTGAATTAGAGTCAAATTGGTTACAGAAGGAGAAACAAAGAAAGGGAAGGAAACATTAGATTGAGGGGGAGAGATCCAAAAAAGTGATGGGTAGGAAAACGAAAATAAATCTTTCTTGAAAATCTTTATGCTGGATTTACAACGATCAGAACAGAGGAAGGGTCACCGGACCCGACACATTAACTCTGTTTTCTCCTCCACAGCTGCTGCCAGACCTGCTGAGCTTTTCCAGCAACTTTGTTGTTGTTGTTGTTGTTGTTAAATTGTTCTCTTTCTGGAGTGAGGCTGTTGACTGGCATTGCATTTTCAAATTTTCACTAGATATTTTCACTATTAATTATGAGCTCTAACTTTCTGCAGCATGTTTAATGTGTAAATAATATAGAAATCCAGAGTTTGCTTGAGATATTGTTTGTGTGAGTTAAACAGTGGAACAGCATCGAGCGACCAGTGATTTCCTGAGATCCATGCCACACAATGCATCTCTTGATCCTCTACACTTGTTGGCCAAGTTGCATAAGGGCATGCAATACAAAAACAATTTTATTTCTTTTGTGGAAGATTTGGCTAACAGTCTTCTCTATTTCTCTTGTAGCATGAGTCGATGTCCCTCGGTGTCTACTCCAGTGATGGTGGATTTCAACTTTGGAGCAGCACCCATCTGTGCAGATCCATCCATTGTCCTGCTAATGATTGAGAACAAAGAGATGACACCTGCTGACTGGTGGGTACCACATGCATTAGACAGGAAGGCAGGAGGAACTTAACCTGTGATCAAATTACAGTGGAAAAGTCTAATATCCTTATTCCACGGTTGTGTCATAATAAAGGCAGAACTGTAAAGATACAGGTTTAATTTCACTGAACACAGAGGAAGACCCAAGAGAGAATTTCTCCAAGTAAGGAAAGAAAGGGCTCACATTTATTTAACACTTTGACATACCTCTCCCCCACTGAATTGCTTTTCCAAGTCTCTCTTATTTGTTTATGAAATGTGCACTTCACTGGCTGAGCCAGCATTTAATGACCATTATTAATTGCTCTGGAAAAGGTAATGGTAAGCTACCCTTTTGAGCTGCGCAGCTCTTGGAATGTAGGGGCACCCGCAGTGCTGTTGGGAAGGAGTTCCAAGATTTTGACCAAGTGATGGTAAATGAACGGCAATAGATTTCCAAATCAGGACGGTGAGTGGCTTGGAGGGGAACTTGCGTGTAGTGACATTCCAATGCATTGACTGCCGTTGCTTTTCATGATGGTAGAATCATGGATCACTCTTCGAAGGTGCTGTTAAGAAGGGAGTTCCAGAATTTTGACTGAGCAAGAGTGAATGGATGATGATAGATTTCCACATAAGGATTGTGCGTGGCTTGGAGGGAAACATGCTAATGGTGACATTCCCATCATCTGCTGCCCTTGTCTCCCTTTGTGGTAGAGGGATTGAATGTAGTCAGCCAGTCTATAAATTGTCCAGCTTCTGAAGAAATAAAGAAATTATGCAATGAGCTTCAATTCTCAACATTACTTTGCTGATGATTCTGCCAAATTTTGAATGTGTGGTTATGTATGGACTCATTTCAATTTCATACCTGTTTCTCTCAGATATTTTGCTAGATAGAGAGGGAGGGAAGGCTTCAGGACATCAGTGTTAAATGCTCTTAAAAATATTTGGATTGGATTTCAGGCAACATTTCTTTTTTAGAGGTTCATTGACCCTTTCCGTGGATTGCCAGGCAACCTACTGTGGTTGGTTTTACTATAGGCCTTCAAAGGCAAGTTCCTTCAGAGTAGAAAAAACATTTCAAGTATATGTCAGGTGAAATGACAATTATCTTCACATAATTAAGTCTTCAAAATGGTGACGTTTTTAATAAGATTAGGTGAGTAGAAAGTATTTCCACTGCTAGGAGTATCAGTAACTAAAGGATACAATGGTAGAACAACCAGGGAGGAGATGAGAATTTATTTTTGCGGCATATTTTCTGCCCTGGAATGCATTGCCTGAAAGGAAGTTGAAAACAGGTTCAACACTAGCTTTCAAAAGATAATAATTGAACAAGTAGCTGAAAAGAAAATATTTGCAGGGCTGTGGGAAAAGTGCTAGTTGGTGGGGAGAGAGATTACTTGGATCGGATTTTCAAAGATGCTATACAAGCCAGATGGCCTGAATGGCCCTTTTCTGTGCTTTATGATTCCGAATGACTTTTCTATGATCAGGACAAGTAACCCAAGATTGAGAGTAAGTTTTGCATTTAAATTCTGAATTTATAACCTCGAGGACAATTATATCATTTTTTCCTGTGATTTTCTCCTGTTACTTTATCAAGGGCCTTCCTGTTTCCGAAAGACCAACAACTGGACGTGGAATACTGGGCGGAGACTGGAGAATTCAACCCCACTGAGCTGCACGAAATGAGGATTGACGATAATCGGCTCTTCACTGTGGAACCAAAATCTGGATGCTTGCTTCCTGGACAACGAGAAACCATTCAACTAACTTACAGGTATTAAGACTAGAGATGGTATGGGGGAGCATCTATGTGAATTTTCTTCCTGTCACACATGGCAAACCTTATTATGACTTGTCCAAGTACTTCCAATCTGAGGCAGGAGTTGATCATGTCTGTATAGTTTTGCTGGATGTATTGCTCCAAATTAAGTTAGGAGTAAACCGAATTCTTTAAGATGCTCAGGCCATCTGAAATAGTGTATTCTAGAAAGATGCCATGCAGTTTGTTAAAATGATTTCAAACAGAGGTCTATCAGGCAGAACAGTATCAGGTACATTGATTGTCTCCAATCAATGTATATGTACCATTATGCATTCAGTCTTCAGTATTAGCAGCCTCAATATCAGCTGCTTGCATTCTAGGCTTTGAAATTGTCTTCCAAAAGCTTTGTACTTTCCTCTCCTCAGTTAAGATGATCCTTAAAACTTACCTCTTTAACCAACTCATTCTAATTTCTCATCATATAGCTTGGTCAACCATTTGCTGGATAATTGTTTCTATGAAGAGCCTTGGAAGGTTAAAGGCTCAACATAAACATAAGTTCTTATTAATGCCACAGTGTTTGTAACTAAGTGTTACATCAGGTCAGAAACTGCATGCATTTTAAAAAAAATTATTTCATTAATTGAATAAATTAATGATTTTAAGCAAAAGTTTCAGTGAATCCTTTTCTTCAAACTTGTATTTCTCCTACTGCGTGCTAAAGTTGAGTGAAAATGGCTACTATCATTACTATCAAGGAGCAATAAAGATATGAGAATATCCTATAATACCAATACAGAGGAGCAACAGGTACTTGAGGGCAATAGGCATATGTGACAATATCTTATAAAAAGTTTGCATAAAGACTGTAGGGGTAAATTACAATACCTTGTATAAAGTTGTGATGTGGAGGTGCCGGTGTTGGACCGGAGTGAGCAAAGTCAAAAGGCACACAATACTAGGTGATAGTCCAACAGGTTTATTTGAAATCACGAGCTTTCAAAGCACTGCTCCTTCCCCAGCTGATGAAGATACAGTGCTCCGAAAGTTTGTGGTTTCAAATAAGCCTGATGGATTATAAATTTGTGTTGTGTGACTTCTGACTCTATATAAACTCAACAATTATGTTCCAAATAAAATGATGAACTCTTAAACTAAAGCTGTGCTATACAAAGGCTCTAACTCTGGATAAAACATATTGACTATTAATCAGAGTTGAACAAAAGAGTACTAGTGAAAACTTTTGAACTAATCTTCATTTCTACACAGACCTTGAAGTTTAAAGTTTTATTCTGATCTGAGATCTAAACTGCACATTTAAGTATCTACAACAGATTTTTGATGTCTGTTTTGAAATAGCAATGAGAAGAACTTTATACTTTAATTGTTCCCTGTTCTCAGGCATGAATATACAGGCACTGATCGGATCCCCATTGTATTGAAACTTTCACATGGTCGTGAAATTTTGGTAAGGAATAATTTGTGTTACCCAGAGAACATTTTGTTTTAATTTAATGAGATGAACTGTACAACTGGAAAAAGATTTCAAAATGCACCAGATACGGGGCAAGATTCTTCAAATACTGCCCACTGCTAAGGGTTATTGGGACAAATAGTTGTCCCTCAACAGTTACAGGAATGACAAAGCTTGTTATAATTGCAGAAGCCAAGGAGTGAGATTTGTATAAGAACATAAGAACTAGGAGCAGGAATAGGCCGTCTGGCCCTTCGAGCCTGCTCCGCCATTCAATAAGATCATGGCTGATCCTTTCGTGGACTCAGATCCACTTACCCACGTTCTCACCGTATCCCTTAATTCCTTTATTGTTCAAAAAAAATCTACCTTTTTTTTTAAAAACATTTACTGAAGTAGCGTCAACTACTTCGCTGGGCAAGGAATTCCATAGATTAACAACCTTCTGGGTGCAGAAATTCCTTCTCAGTTCAGTCCTAAATCTGCTCCCTCTAATCTTGAGGCTATGCCCTCTTGTCTGGTATTGGCCAATCAAGATTCTATTCCTTGACCAGTGGGGAAAATCCCAAACTGCAGACATGTGTTTATATTTTGCAATCTTAGCAGTATTTTACCTGAAAGATTTGTATTGTTATCACCAATGGTCAATGTTACGTCATGCTTTGGAAGATTATCTGGGATGATTCTCCTCTCTGCCTTCACAAGGCACGTATTCACTTTATAAGTTCACTTGCTGAGTCAAGACTTTGGGATGAGAGATAGACTTATTTTCTGTATAGCTTGTGCCTAAAGTAGAGGAATGTCTTGTTGAGAATGTTAATGGTATAAGCATGCTCTTGTCGTTTGCTCATTTTTATCTTATTTGCTCCATAGGTGTTTGCTTCAGTTATGATTTAGCTGATGGTAGTACTGGACAAGTCAGATTCCAGAGTTAGACCTGACTTTTTTTGTTTATTGTGGCAATCAATCACTGAGCACATTCACAAGAGGCTGCCAATATATGCTCAACAAACAAACATTGAATGTTTTTATACAAAAGAAATACACAAACTGTGTTACACTATACAAGAACTATAGACAGTGGTCTCATAGAATCGTACAGAAGAGGCTGTATGACTTGTTGATGCTAGACTGACAAAAACACCACTCTAAATCTACACTAGTCTCACTTTCCAGCACCTAGCCCATAACCTTGAATGTTATGGCATTCCAAGTGCTCATCCAAGTACTTTTTAAAGGTTGTGAGGTTTCCCATCTCATCTATCCTAGGCAGTGTATTCCAGATTCCAACCACTCTGTCAGTGAAAAATATTTTCCACAAATCTCCCGTAAACCTCCTGCCTTTCATATTAGAAATGTGGCCCCATGTTCTTGACCCTTTTATTAAGGGGATCAGTTGCTTTCTATCCATCCTGTCCATGCCCCTTATAGTCTCATACAGCTTGATCAGGTCCCCTCTGAGTCTTCTCTGCTCTGAAGAAAACAATGCAATCCGGCCTCTCTTAATAGCAAATATCAGAAAGAAAGATTCAACCCTTTTGCTGCAAAAACGACCTTACAAAAATGCATTAGATGTGGGAGCAGAAGTCAGCCAATCCACCTATCAAGTCTGTTCCACCATTCAATGATGTCATCCACAACTCCACTTTTCTGCCTTTTCCACACAACTCCTGATTCTTTTCCTGATTAAAAATCTGTCTACCTTTCCTACATTACAAATGTGGTTACACGTCCAAAGTACTTAATTAGTTCCAAAGCATGTGGGAATATCGTTGTTTATATTAATTCATGGCATATGGGCTTAGCTGGCTGAACCAGCATTTATTTCCCATTTCTAGTTACCGTTGAGAAGATGGTGGTAACCCACCTTCTTGAACCACTACAGCCATTAGGGAGGCAGTTCTGACAAAGTGACCCGATGACACTGATGAAATGGTAATGTATTTCAAGGCTAGGATGGAGAGATGGTACTGGTCATGGTTTTGGAAGATGCTGTCAAAGAAGAGTTGGTGAATTTCTGCAGTGCATCTTGTAGATTGTACACATTACCACTGCTGTGTGCTAATGGGGGAGGGAAAAATTGGCACCACATCCACAGACAGTCAAGTGGGCTATTTTGTCCTCAATGGAGTCACGATTCTTGAGTGTTGTTGGAGCACTCATCCAGGCAGTTGGTGAGTATTCCATCACACTTTTGATTTGATCCTTGTAGATTGTGGATGGGGTTCTGGAATTGGGAGGTAAGTACCTCTCTGCAGACCTCCTGGTCCCTGACTGGCTCTTGTAGTTACAATACTAATTTGGTTGGTCCAGTTCATTTTATGGTTAATGGTGACCACTGGAGATTAATAATGGGAAATGGTAATGCCATTGAATGTTAAGGGACAATGGTTAGATTTTATTTTGTTGGAGATGGTAATTGTCAGGCAGTATCTGAGTCATAGGGATTACAGCATGGAAACAGACCTTTCAGTCCAACTCATCCATACCAACCAGATACTCTAAGTTAATCCAGTCCCATTTGCCAGCATTCCTTTAAACCCTTCCGATTAGTATACCCATCAAGATGCCTTTCAAATATTGTAATTGTACCAGTCTCCACCAGTTCCTGTGGCAGCTCATTTACACATGCACCACCCTCTGCATGAAAAAGGTGTCCCTTAGGTTCCTTGTAAATCTTTAACCTCTCACCTTTAGTTTTGGACTCCTCTACCCCGAGGAAAAGGCCTTGCCTATTCATCCTATCCGTGTCCCTTATGATTTTATAAACCACTATAAGGTCACCCCTCAGTATCTGACGCTCCAGGGAAAATAGCCCCAGCCTATTCAGTCTCTCCCTTTACCTCCAACCCTGGCAATATTCTTGTAAATCTTTTCGGAACCTTTTCAAGTTTGTGGTAAATGGTGTTGAACAATGTAATCATCAGCAAACATCCCTAATTCTGACCTTAACTTGGCGGGATGATCATTGATGAGACAACTAAAGATGTTTGGGCCTACGACAGCATCAGTGAGCAAACTATTGCTAAGCTAACCTACTCCCAATTCCTCCACCTCTGCCGCGTCCCTACTCCCAAATTCCTCTGCCACGTCCCTACTCTCAATTCCTCTGCCTCCACTGCGTCTGCTCCCAAGATGGGACGTTCCACTCTCTAACATCCCAGATGTCCTCTTATTTCAAAGACTGCAACTTCCCTCCTTCAGTGGTTGAAAATGCTCTCTTATGTTTCCCGCTCCTCTGCCCTCACATCCCCTCCCCTCAACAACAACAAAGACAGAATCCCCTTTGTTCTCACATATCACCCCACTGACCTCCGTATCCAACGTATCATTCTCCGCCACTTCCGCTACCTGTAATCTGACCCCACAACCAAAGATATATTTCCCTCTCTATCCCTATCCGCCTTTCATAGGGACCGCTCTCTCCACGACTCCCTCGACCGCTCCAAACTCCCCACTAGCCCCACCACCCCCAGCACCTTTCCCTGCAACCGCAGGAAGTGCTACACCTGCCCCTACTCCTCCCTCCTCACCTCCATTCAAGGCACAAAACAAACCTTCCACATTAAACAGATGTTCACCTGCACATTTGTCAGTGTGGTCTATTGCATCTGCTGCTCCCGATGTGGCCTCCTCTACATCAGTGAGACCAAGTGGAGGCTCGGAGACCGCTTTGTAGACCATCTGCGCTGTGTTTGCGACAAACGACAACACCTTCCGGTTGTGAACCATTTCAACTCCCCTTCCCACCCCCTGGGTGACACGTCCATCCTGGGCCTCCTCTAGTGACACAATGACGCCGTCCAGAAGCTGGAGGAGCACCACCTCATTCCATCTTGGGAGCCTACAGCCCAATGGTCTCAATGTGGACTTTACTAGTTTCAAAATCTCCCAAGCCCTGGCCTCATCCCATAACCAATCCTCCCTCTCATCCCCGCCTCCTTGACTTGACACAACCTGTCCGTCTTCTCTCCCACCTATCTGCCCCTCCCACCTCACTGACCAATCCCCACCACTACCTACCTGCACACACCTATCACCATCTCACCTACCTTCCCCAGCCCCACCCCTCCTCTTTCTATTTATTTCGGAGCTCCCTTCCCCCTCTCCCATTTCTCAAGAAGGGTCCCGACCCGAAATGTCAACTTTCCTGCTCCTCTGATGCTGCCCGGCCTACTGTGTTCCTCCAGCTCCACATTGTGTTACCTCTGACTCCAGCATCTGCAGTTCTTGCTATCTCTATATAAATACAAGTTTTTTTTTTTGTTTTCTGTAATGCGTTGGAAAAAGTACAAATGGAAGTCATAGCTCAGACATGATGGGCCAAATGGCCTCCTTCCATACCATAACTATTATGTGATTCTGCGAAGTAGTTTGACAAGATGATAAATATTCTGAGTTTGTATCAAATTACAGCTTATGATGTCGCTGAGAAATGACCATGCGTAATGCAGTAAAGGTTGATAAATATTTACCTTCAAGTGGGTTTCACTTAAGAAAAACATTGAAGTGTGCCATCTGTGCCAAGTTTCATACACTGCTATTTCCTTGAGCAAATGCTAGAGCAGGTGCACCGGAATAACATTGGTCTGGGAAATTCCCATGCTGCATAAAATTCCTGTTAGCGGGCTATGCTTTGGTTTTTTTTTAACTTAATAACCACTTGGCGGAGAATGGAAAAAAAAACGCTTTAACCATTACTTGTATAGCTCATGGGATTCCATTTCCAGATGGTTGCTCTCTTAAAGCCCTTGGCATTAGTGGCAGCATAGATATAAAATTGGCGTAGAGTTTGAAAGCAGGGAGTAGTGGTGAATAGGTGTTTTTCAGGGAAATGTACAGTGGTGTTCCCCAAGGCTAAGCATTAGGACCACTGCTCCTTTTGCCATTTTTTCCATAACATGGACACCATTTCAATGTTTGCAGATGACGCAAAGTTCTGAAATGCAGTACACAATAACTAACAGATTTGAAGCGGGTCTTATTTTCTTGAT